GTTTATTTTGGTCATAAATTAATTTGTAGTTTAAATATTTCATTATAAAATCCATAGATAACACAACAACTAATATGATAAAAAAAAGAAAATATAATACTAATAACAAGTTAAAAAAAAACTCTTTTTATCTCAAGCTCTAAAATCTAAACATGCCCTAAACCTAAACCCTGATATTTTTCATCTCAAGATATTAAATGTAAAACCAAGGGATAAAAAATGATAATTAAAGTTCTGTTATAATATATATATATATATATAACAGTTTAGGGGTTTATATATCTTGTGTGGTATTACTATGTGGAGTTTGGTGTACTTAAAACCCTAAACCCCAAAATTAACCCCAAATCTTATATCATACTTCAAACTTTAAACTTTAAATTTTAAACTCTATAACTTATTTTTTTTAAATTCACTCTTAATATATTATAATCCAAACTTCAAACAACATAGTCCAAACTTAAACTTTATACCCTTAAACATGAAACCAAATAACTTATAATCCCAAAAAGAATTCATTAAAAAGAAATCCTAAACTATAGATACAAATCTTAAGACTCTCATCCTTTTTATGCCATAAAACATTACTTTAAAAAATTCTAAACACAAAAAAAAAATCAGAAAAAATGTAATACAAAACACAAGAAAATAAAAAAGAAAGAAATCAAATAATTTAATACAAGACACAAGAAAATGAAAAAGAAAGAAAAAGTTCTTTTAGCCAATTAGATCAATATACACGGATCACCTTCTCAACCGTTAGATTATATTAAATCAACGGTCTAAAATCAATCTCTTATCTATCTTCACCCTTGTTTTCTATTGGTTTGGAGTGGATCACTCTCTGCACCGTTCGATCTAAATGAATCAACGCTTGAGATTTGTTTCTTTTTTTCCAATTATTTTGTGAGTACAGATCGCGTTCTCGAGAGACAGAGATCAAGAAAAAAAAGAGAGACGCGACTGGGTAAGCTGTGCCCTAGCAAACCTTGGCATCCTTCTCTTCTTCTTCCTCGTCGGCCTCCTTGATCGCTTCTTTTTTATTGTCTCTGTTTCTGATTATCAAACTTGTTTCTGATTATCAATTTGATTCATTAAGATTTGAATTTTGTTTTGAATCGGTCTCTGTTGGAAAGTTAGGCACTGTTATCTTACCAATACTAGAGTAGAGCAAGCAACTTGATTGGTCATTGAGATTTGAGCTGTTATCCACAAAGTTAGTGTTTTTCTGTCATGTCTTTACTTTGTTTGTCATCGTGTGTTTCAGCTGGAGATATAATTGTTCTTTTATTGTTGAACCAGGAAACTAAGAGCTTAAGTCTAATGGAAATGAAGAAATAAAGAATTAAAGAAATTGTTCGGCAAGGCTAATGGTTTGAATGAGTCTGAGGAAGAAGATGACGATGATGATGTAAGCCCTCTTCAGTTCCCACACAGCTTGCTTGGATATTAATTTGTTCGGTTCTGAAGCACTCATTTGATCATCCTTTGCTTCTCAAAGCTGGTTTTGATACAATTATCATTCTGAATGTTGTCTCATAGGAGGAGACAAAGTTCAATCCAGTTACGAATTATGCGAGTTTTGTGTTTCAGGAACCATTTATGTGAGTTTTCATCTTTGATTGAGAAAGCTATGTGAGTTTCTTGCTTTGCTCCTATCTTCGTTACATAGTCTAGTAGTGAACAAGGTTTGACTGTTTTTTTTTTATGTCTGTTGCAGATAAGATAACTGAACCCATCTTACAAGAAGCTTGAAGCCTCGATCTTATCCTGTGTAAAGTTTCAGACTTTATCTTGTTGGAGTATGAAAAAGCGAAGGTACTAATAATTCCAGAGTTTTGATTTATGAATTGTCACATGAATGGCTTATGTTTCTTATTTTTCTTTGGTGATAGCTTTATGGAGAGCTTGATACTGGAAGAAGGCAGAGGTTAAGTCTTTCGTGCTCCTTTAACCTGTGTTTCTGAATTGGTATTTAACACTTCCTTGACTCGGTGACATTTGTTTGTTTGACTATGTGCCTACTGCATTTTTTTTTACCTGAGTTTGTTACTGGGCAGAGCAGATTTGTGTGTTTTGACCTGCAGTTAGCGGCAGAGACGTTAGATGGATTAGAGTCGAGCAAGATAGATGAGATGGAGTTGGTTTAGAAGCTAGGGAAAAAAGATAGTTGAGAAGCTTGGTGGTGGTGGAAGAGAAAAGATGTTAGAGATGATTGTGACAGCTTATTAGTAGTAGAATGATATTATGTTTGATAGGTTTTGATGATTTGTGTAAATAAGGAAATGAATGATTTTATTAGAATATTAATTTGAATAAATTTTTATTTGACATTTTTCGATTCTGTATTATTTTAAAAATCAAAATATTAAATTAAATTTGTCATAAATGAAATGAAACAATTACATATAAAAGATGCAATGAAATATTTAAATATTGCTATTGATAGAAGACTACAATAGTAATTAAAAATTGTTATGATAAATTTTAAAAACCGCTATAGTAAAAATGTTATAATAACATTTTAGAGACGTTATTAAAAAAGTTACAATTGCATAAACAAAAACGCTATTACTAAAATAATATCAATAGCGGATAACAAAACTGCTATCTAATGGACCAGACCTATTATCGCGGGCGATATTGGAGCGCTTTCTACAACGCTATGGTATCATATGATAGCGCTTTACGGGTGCTATTAAAACCCTTATTTCTTGTAGTGTGGAGAGCTTGCATGTGCTATTTTAAGCCATGTTAATTGTTTTTCCTGCTCTTTCTTCCGAATATTCGATATAAGTGCTTCAGTACACAAAATAAATAAGTAGGGTGACAGAGGATCTCCTTGTCGGAGACCTCTCTTCAGTCAATGTGTCATTTTGGTTGACCGTTAATAAGTACTCTATATTGTACCGATGAGATGCATGTCATCAATCTGGAAACCCATGTGTCGGAGAACCCCATTTTAAGTAAAATTGACTGTATAAAAGGTCATTCTACTCTATCGTATGCCTTACTCTTATTTATTTTAATAGCCACATACTTTTCTTTATAAGAATTATTAGTTCTTAAAGCATGAAACATCTCCTGAGCGATAAGAATTATCTGAAATTAATCTCCTAGAAACAAATGCTGATTGAGTTTCTGAAATTAGCAAAGGTAATAGCCTCTTAAGTCTTTGACATAAAACTTTTGAAATGATCTTATATCCCACATTGCATAACCTAATTGGTCTCAATTCCGTCATCCTGGTTGGTCTCAATGTCTTTGAAATGAGACAAATGTTTGTTAAGTTGAGCCTATCATCAAAAGAGCTAGCCCGAAGATAATCATTTACTAAATCCACCACCTCTGTCTTAATAATTGACCACGATTGTTGGAAAAATAGTGTCGTCATACCATCCGGTCCCGGAGCTTTGTCTGGGTGCATCATAAATACAGCCGACCTCAGTTGCTAAAGCACATAATGTATAATTTTTTTTGACTGTAACAGTACTTGAAACCTCACTTAAAAAATACTGGAAATCAGACGGTGTTGTTGTATCAAAAAGTTTTGTAAAATAATCAACCGTAACTCCTTCTACTTCCAACTCGGAAGTAACCCAATAATTTTATTTTGTATTCTCCTCTGGTTTTTTAAAGCATGATAGAATTTTATATTTCGATCTCCTAAACAATGCCATTTGGTTCTACTTTTTTTGTTCCCAAAATAACTCTTCGTCCCGATAAGCCTCCTGGAGTTTACGAGTCACTTCCATAACCTCCTCATAAGATTTGGTATCATCATTTTGTACTTCCTCAAGAGCCTTCTGAAGATTGTTTATCTTTTCCTTTCCATAGGGTAAATTGTTTTTCCTCCATACAAAAATCTGATGTCTACAATTCGGAATTCTCCCCACCACCCCTAAACCCATTTTCTAATTCCACCCATTGGCAATTGACTCCATAAATCCTTCCTCTCCGATTCATCTCTTATCAAATCTGAATTGCTGGCGAACCTTTCTTGTGGTCTCATCCATATTTGTGACAATTGGTCTATGATCAGATCCCACCATTCCTAAATATTCTACATAAGAGGCCGGGAAGAGGGAATGCCATTCCTCATTCCCAAGAGCTCGATCTAACCTACATTGGATAACATGTTCAGCTCTCCTCCCTCTCCAAGCAACGTATTTCCCACACTTAAATATTCTAATAGACTGAAATTTTCAATCATATTATTAAAAGACACAAAAGTCGTTGCATCTCTCAAGTTGCCTCCACCAATCCCAAACCAGGGTTCGTTCCTATTAATTCCAATCCTGGTGAGACGTTCCCATACTTGGTCTCGTAGCTGATGAGCAGGATCTCCGTACACAAAAAAAAAGAAAAATTGTTTTTCCTTTGTATGAGGTTGCAATATAAATAATCCTATTACTGGAGTATATAATATTCACAGTCAATTCATTGTCATAGAAAAGTGCCAAACCCTCACTTTTTCCGCAAGGATCTACTATATGTAAATATTTATAGTCTAAATGAAATTGGAAATCCTGAACAAAATTAAAAAATTGTTTTGTTTTCGAAAGAAAAAAAAAAGATGACTTATGTTTATGCCAAATTTCTCTTAAAAAACTGATAGTATATTTACTACCCATTCCTTGACAGTTCTAGCTTAATATCTTCATGCAATTTTAGTTTTCCGTAATTATTTTCACAATAGACAAAACCGTAAAATAGTTGTCTATTTGACCTTAAGGAAATCAAAACCTGTAAAATCCGATTTATGGCTCCCATATGTTTTAAAATGTTCATCCATAAAGTATTGTAGCCCAAACAAACAAAGACCATAGGCACTGATTGAATGGTAGGCGAAAAAATATCAAAACCTGAGTATATAGGATTATAACTATAATCAAATCTAACCAAAGCTCCTCTCATCCTGGGAGCAATTCATAAAGTAATTTGCTAAAAAAAACAAATATTGTTAGCCTTAACTATATTACACGAAATGAAGGACACCATCAAGAGGTGTTCCCTACATCCACAATCTCCACCCCATACATGGAGCCTTGGAAGATCTATACACACATACACTAAAAGGAAAACACCATCTCCATCTCCAGCTCCATTGCCATTGACACCACACAAATATCAATAATAGGTAGATACTTTCAAAAATACTGCGGATAATCCCAATTTTCTCATACTTCGAATGCTCCCCTAAAACCCAATGGAATCCTATACACCAAACAGTAATGTCAGAGTCCCAAGCAGGCGACTTAGTAACCAATGAAGCCAGGAAACTCCTTTTAATACATATGCTGTGAAAACATTCCTGTAAACACCACTTCTCTTCACCCTTAATACATAATAACATCACTCGTAATTGCAAAATGCAATATCCTGGCCGAAGAAGCATGGCAGAAAACCTCTGACCATACCAAACACATGTTCCAAGTTCATACCAAATCATACCATAACACTGAGTACTGAATAAACCAGACATCCCTATGTACAACTCCAGACCTACTTGATTTGATGGAGAATTACCCAAGCAGCCAAAGCTCCCTATTTTTCCTAAAGCATGGTCCAGATGAATATCCAAGCTACACATACCAGTAATGAACCTAAACTTTAAATTCAATCTATTTCCAGACCTTGAGCTAACATCATGACAGTATACAGCAACTAAATTCCATCCCCTCAGTCCCAAAATTTTCGATTGGTGAGGATCAAACCACCTCAGTATCCACAAATGAAAACCAGCAAGTTTATTCGAAAACCCTGATAGCTTCAGGGAACACTCAACACAGATAAAGAAAAAGCAGCAAACAGAAAATTTAGGGGATTTAATAACCATATTCCTACACTTATTCATGATTTTTTTTTTTTAAAAAAGACAAATTTCCGAAAAACCTTAGGAACTTCTCCCTGCTCAGTAATTGGCTTAATCGGATCATTCCTCGGAGGTAGAGTACCTTTCTCCCCCGCCTTGGTGAGCTGCTTAGTTGTGGTCTTCTTCCTTGGTGAGGCCAGGTTTTGCATCAATTTCTTCTTAGTAGTGCCACCTAAAAAAGAACCACCGCTTTTTACAGGCTTTGTTTTGGTGATTGGACGTCCGTTTCCCTCATCAGGATCCATCACATCCTGCATGTCAAGCTCCTCTCCCTGATCCTCCTCTTCCATTCCTTGATCCTCCTCATCCACAGCTTTTTGTTCAAATGTTTCCAAAGGTTCCACCTCCATAGCGGATTCTACCTCTGTCCTCATCTCTAATTTTTCTTCACTACCTTCCTTATTTCCCTCTCCCTGAGAGTGCATAGTTCAACAACAACTAAATCAAGTTGCAGTTAGTGGTGTGAACTAATGAATGGCCTAACTTAATATTATTAGATTAACTAAGTTTTATTAGTTAATTACTTTCCCCATATCCATTCTTTGGCGTTATTGTAGAGACATGAACAACTACCATCACAACGTCTTTTTCTTCTCTGTCAACCCACAACAGTAGTTTTTTTTTTATTTCTTTTCTTTTTCAATTTCGACAATCCATATCAACTTGTATAGATGCATCATGTTTTAACGTTTTGCATTTTATTAATAGCATACATCGAGCTTGGTGTAAGCTCAAGAATTAGAATTTAATAATTGCTGCAGTGGTAAATTTTGGTTCGTGTACACATACATGTGTCTCACATCGATAATGATATGTTATTTTGGAGAATAAAACAGAAATGTTTAGATGTGATGATATAGAATACTTACATAAAGTTTGGTTAACGAAATAAGCATTAAAATTTTTTATTAGATCACAAATTAGAAAAATTTGTGATGCTAAAATATAGAAAAATAATATATTAGATAATAAAAAATTATTTAATGTATATCTATAATGTTACCTAGAGTTTGAACAGAGTTTTTGATTGTAATTCTCAGAAAGAAACATAAGAGCACCTCCATCGGAGTTTTTGATTGTGGTTTCTTTTTATATATGTATGTAATTGGAACCTTTTCTAATATAATACAGAGAAAGATATCTGTGTACTGTGATTTGATTTGATGTGAAGCTTATATCTCTTTGGTGTTGATGGATTTTGTGTTAACTCTCAGTGGCCAAGATTGGAAGGCAATCTTAAGGCTCCCTCCTCCTGGTACTCGTTATACGGCTTCTTCTGAGATTTTCTAATGAGTGGAGAGTCTCCTTATGTGTATGTAAACCTTTCGTTATGAAATATTTTTTTGTTTGCAGGATCTGACATCTACAAAAGGGAATGAGTTCGAAGATTACTTTCTGAAAAGAGATTTGCTTAAGGAAATATATGAGAAAGGTTTCGAGAAGCCATCTCCTATTCAAGAAGAGAGCATCCCCATTGCTTTAACCGGGAGTTATATTCTTGCTAGAGCCAAAAAGGTACCGGAAAGACTGGTGCCTTCTGCATTCCAGTCCTAGAGAGAATTGATCCGAATACCAATGTTATTCAAGGTATGCCTTCTGCATTCCATTCCCTTCCTCTTTTTTTTATTTTATTTTGTGAAATATAGCTTAGCTACTCTCTGAGTGTGTTTGTTGTTCTATTTTTTAATAGTGCTTTGATCTTAGTTCCAACGCGATAGCTGGCCCTTCAGACGTCACAGGTTTGTAAGGAGCTTTCAAAGTACTTGAACATCCAGGTTATGGTCACTACTGGCGGTACCAGTCTGAGAGATGATATTATGCGCTTACATCAACCTGTACATCTGCTAGTTGGAACTCCTAGAAGGATATTGGATTTTACCTAAAAGAGAGTTTGTGTTTTGAAAGACTGTACGATGCTTGTGATGTATGATGTGAGCTCCTCATAGCTTTTGATAATATCTTGATCTGAACTTTGATGTTCTTAATGACTTGTTGGCTTTAAAATCTTGTGTTATAAGCTTCAACGTGTCTGACTCTTTACTAACTATCTTACCAGGTAGACCAGATTTTATCATGGATCAACTCACGCTTACGGATGTCACACAATATTATGCTTTTGTTGAAGAGAGACAGAAGGTTCACTGTCTTAACACACTTTTATCTAAGGTCAGATGTGTAAAACAATCTCAGTAACAACATAAGTATATGCGTACTCGATTTTGATGATCTAAACTAGTTATTGTTTTCTATGTTTATGTTTATGATTTCCAATCGTTCCACTTAAAAAGAAAAAAAATTTAAGAACCTCAATTAAGGTTCTCTCATTGGACAATGAAAAAATTAATTAGATTTACGGAGGTTCTTAACTTATCAAATCACAAACTAAATTACTAATATATTGATTAGAACCCTAAAGGGTCTTTAACTAATGGAGGTGGTCTAAGGGGTTTTGGAGTTTCATAGCTTAGTGAATTGATAGACTTGATCGACATGAGTTAAATCAAGAAAGTTAAGTGTGTTAGGAATCGATCCATGTCGAGTCGTGCAATTCGGATCAAGGAAGTCTGTAAGAGATTGTGTAAAAGATTTCTAATAAAAGAGATATGTGTTTTTGGAATTATTATGCCTTGAGTTTTCACTGAATCTCGATTATACAATTGTTCTCATAGCGGAACATCTAAACGAACGAGAGTTCTTCGAACCAAGTTGAGATCTTGAGAAGAGAAAATGAAAATTTTGGGACATAATATGTTGCTGCAAAATGATGTGAACTATAGGTATTGAAAGTGAGAATGAGAGTAAACTTACGTGGAACTGATGATGATATCTTGACAATTGTTCAAACGGCATGGGAAGAACCGTGTGTGATACTAGAAGATGGTTTGAAGACACCTAAACCAAAGACAAAGTGGTCTGAAATAGAGAAAAAGCTTTCAAAGTCTAATGCAAAAGCATTGGATATAATCTTTTGTTATGTAGATGGTAAGCAATTTGAGCTAATACAAGGATGTGGATCAACTAAGGAGGCTTAAGATATACTACAAAATGCCATCGAGGGTATTACGAATGTTAGGGGATAAGATTGGACTTACTTGCCTCACATTTAAAGACATAAGAATGACTGAAGATGAGAAGATATGAGACTTCAATGCCAAGCTCATCTCCATAGCCAACGAAGCACGTAAAAATATGAAGATGCAAAATTTGTGAAGAAACTTTTGTGATGTTTGCCTACTAAGTTTGCAGCACATAAAGTTGCGATAAATTTGACAATGAACACTGATGAACTTAAGTTCGCTGAGGTAGTAGGAATTTTAAAGGCTGAGGAGATAGAATGGGAATCTAAGTTGTGAAATCCTGTTCAAGATTCTAGAATTACAGTTGATGAATACATCCAGAGAGCTCAGAAACTTGAAGAATCTATTCACCTAATGATTCAAAAACTTGAAGAACCCATGGATCTTTTTTGTAAGATGTCCAACGATAGACTGCTTAGCAAAGAAGAAAGACAGAAAAGCATGAAGTGGTGTGTTTTAATTGTCATGGTTTTGTACATGTCAAAACAGATGTCCATCGTTCAAGCAAAAGAAATCATGTGTAATTTAAAGTTGCAAGAACACAAAAGATTATAAGAACTAACTTTTCTTATTAAATTTAGAAACTTTCTCAAAACTAAATCAATGTGTTACTCATAAGGGATGCAACATCTCTGAAACTCTTTATATAGGTCGAAGCTACTTCTTAACCTATTACTAATATGAAAATGATATCACTCAAATTACCCTAAGGAGTGAATTACTCTCTCAAATAAGAGGTTCAGTTGTAATACTTAGGGATCGAATCCACAAGGAACTAAGGAACACAAAAGATACAATCCTAAGTGATTATGCTAGGTTGATTAAGGTTTAAAAGTAAATTGCAGTTGTGAGCAATGGTGAGTTGCTCAAGAGAATTGGTTTAGGTTTTAAACAATAAAAGAAAATAGTTAGATTCAGCATTTCTATTCAGATAATCAGGATTATAATGCTACAGATGTCTTTATAAGTTGCTTGCAAGATATTAAAGAACTTCAATTCTTAGATAAGTCTATTAGCAATCGCTATTAGACTCGTCCATTGATCTGACTGCCGGCAATATCGACCGATGGTTTGACAGCGATATCGGACGATATGGGTTGCCGTCGATCGATTACTCTATAGGAGTATCGATCGATATAGCTTCAGATCGAATTGAATATGTGTTCACCAAGTTCATAGACCGGCTCTCGTTCGTCCCTAGAGGATCTCAGCTTATACAAGATGATTTCAGGATGATGATTAACAAGTTAAATCATTCCATGATCATACTCTAGTTAGCTACTCTAGAGTAAGCATTAGGGTTCATCAGGATAATGAATATCACAACTCAACAATCCATAGTTGGGGCTAATCCCTCATAACTATTTGAACCCTAAATCTAACAAGTGAATCTACTCAGAAATGGCTAAGTAATTCATAGCATCAAGGTAATAATAGAAATTCATTAGATTAGAAGATTGAACTCTTGTTTGTTTTGAACAACAAATCTCTTTGTGTGTTCTTCTAAATCTAGAACTCTATAACCTTTATGAAAATGAGAATAAGATGAAAAGAATACTTTTATAAATCAAAGAACTAAGAACATGAAAAGCAATCAAAGGTAAAAAGCATGTAAAGGTATAAAAAGCATGTCCAGCCAAAACACATAGGCATAACTATAAATATGAGTTCCATTAGGTTAAAAACTCGTCAGAGGCAATCTTGTAATATTGAGAGAACTTGGGCTTCAAGGCCGAGTCAAACTTGTTCTTCACGCTTCATATCGATCGATGGTACAAGGTGTACATCAATCGATGGAGTATCTCAATTCGTCATCTTCTACGGAGGCGTCGTCGATCGATTACACAGGATGTGTATCGATTGATATGTATCTGGATATCTACCTTATTGTCTGATCTTTAAAGTCATCTCGAGAAACTCTCCTTTAAGCTCCATAAGGGCACCTAAAATCATCACTTTACTCCAAAACGCTCTTGAACCTGCAAACATACCTAACAGACTCCAAAACATATATATATATATATATATATATATATATTAAAAAATCATATAAATACCATGGTTAAAAGTGGGTCAAAACCATTTTCTATGAGAAAACATTCTTTTTTAAAATTTTTTTTTCCTATTTCCTTAACTTATTAAAATTCCTTTTAATAAGTTAACTTTCTGCTTAGGTTAATTGGAATTATCCAACCTGCCCCCCCTTAATTCCAACTTGAATCTTGGATATGTTGATGTCTTGAAATCCAATAAGCTCCCGCATTTCCTTGAACTTGATCCTCGCTAACGGTTTAGTA